TTTAAAATCAGGTTTGTAGAAAGCAAAAAAAAAAGTAAATGAATTAAATAACTATATATTTTTTTTATCAAAGATGTTTAAATATGATGTACATAATTTTTGATAAAAGAATATCCCCATTATTTTACCAAATACAAATTAGAAAAAAATTGACAAAAATATTTTTTTTGTTAATGTATGCGTGTGATAAAAATGAAAGCATGTTATGAATTGGTTTACATATATAGCCAGGTTTATGGGGTTTACGCCTTAAAACCTCCTAAGAAACAACAGCATGCAATAACAAGATGTGTTTGTGAAACACTGATGCCACCATATGGCAACATGGCGAAAGTTAAGCTTTCTCAAATGCAGATCAAATACGTTGGTACCTAAAGTAAGGCCTTTCTATAAAATACAAATCTGACATATAAAACCCTTGCACCACCCCTGGTTACTGCCAAGGTAAGCGTTTTTAATAGTAGGTCAAAAACCAAGGTCAAAGTCAAGGTGTTAAAAGTGTTGATATCCAATGAAAGGTTTTCTCACAATGACTACATAAATGAAGTTTGAAAGACCTAAACCTAACAATTCAAAAGTTATGGCCAAAGTGAAAGTTTTCTTGTTAATACAGAAATATCTTAGAAGTTTCAGTAGAAAGCTCTTGTCACAAAGAATTGATATTTAGAATGTGATATTCCTAGTAGCCATCGTTTAAGAATTAGGTCCAGAGTAGAAGTTTGGATTTTTTGTGTAAAAATATGTCAAACGCCAAGGTCAAAGTCAAAGGGTCAAAGTTTTTAATATCAAAAGTCTTGTCCTTACCGTTCAAATGGCCAAACTTAAACAAGTACTAAAATCTCCAAGGTCAAAGTTGTTGGTATCCAATGAAAAGTTTCTTAACAAAAAATATATATGTGAATTATATGTAAATTATAACAACCTCGGTATCCACTGTTCCAATGATATAGCAAACGTAAAAGTTTAGAATTTTTGTGTAAAACTAGATCAAACTCATAGGTCAAGGTAAAAATGTCAAGTTATGTGGTAACCTAAGAAAGGTCTTGTCACAAAGAATACACGTTTGAAATATAGTAGTCGTAGCTCCACTAAATCGAAAGCTATGGGCATTATTAAAGTTTTTGCGTACAAACGGACAAACAGACAGAGAGACACACAAAGAGAGAGAGAGAGAGAGAGAGAGAGAGAGAGAGAAAGAGAAAGAGGGGAGGGGGACGGACACCACAAAAACTATAAACCCCCAAAACTTCGTTCACGTGGGCATAAAAAATGTTTAATGACCACATTGTATATGGTCAAGTTATCTGACAAGTAGATTGTTTAAATACCCGGATGGAAACATTTAACCATAAAATGTATTATTCAATTACCCGGATGTATGCGGTTTACGCCTAAAAACCTCCCATATCCACCACCATACCAGACCAGGAGCTCTTCCCCCGGCTTTACGTCACGTGACGTCATATAGAAGATGATGCCCTCGCACAGGATAGGAACGACATTTTCTTGTTGATATTTTGCGGGAGAATTAACGAATCGTAACCAGCTACTACAGGCCGGATCTTCTGCATCTATGTTGTAAGTACCATAGGTACCTTGTTTATCTACCTTTGAAAACAATAAGATCCTAATGGTTAAGAATGAATTATAGTTCAGAATATGTTGTATATTTTATACTTGATGACAATCTGATCCATGTAGATCCAATAATTTTAAGGTAATGAATATTTAGGGATTCAAAGAATCTGAAAAAAAAGCGTTGTGAGAGTGTTACATTAGCAATACTAGTCCCCTACCCTGAATCTGGTTTCCTCTAAAATTGAAAATTTTATCAGAAATCACTGAAGTTGATCAAAAATAAAAATTCATCTATAACTCATCAAAGTCAAGCAAAATACACAGAAGCTAGTCAAACGGATAAACAGGCGGACAGGGAGGAACGAAAGCAGAGGAAATTTTTAGTCCATCTGGTTTCAATGACAGGCGTCTAGGAATATGTAACTAAAATATGCAACTTCATTTCGTTTTCATTTTCTTTGATTCTCTTTATAATTTCACCTGCCATGAATATAAATCCTCCTTCTTGTCTACAGTGTGAATAAGTCCTTCATAGACACCGAGGATCGTGAACTTCGGAACAAAGGTCTCCGCCCATGCGCCAATTCCTGCGCCCGGAAGTGACGGAGATTTAATGGCGAATCCTGGAGGCGTGGTCAGATTTGCTCTCTGGTGTGGGAGGGAACCTAGAGGAATCTTACATGTACAAGATAATGTCAAGGACAGGAAACAGAGGTCAAGGACGCAGGATTTTAAGTATAATCAAAACTGCTTACATAATTACTTTAAGGGCTAGTATGTCATTTAGATAATGGCAAGGTCAGTGAGAATCTACTGTAAAGAAACTGAATGGTAGAGGTCTAGCATTAAGGAAGCTCTAAACACTGCACACAAAAGAGTTCCTTATGTAACCAATGTACGGAGAAAATTAGTGTATTTTTGTGCTATATCTGTTGATGTATTGCCTGTATATATTTTTAAAATATGATATTTTTGGCATCTGTAAAATAAAACGTAAAAAATCAAAACGATGATTTTTTTTTCATTTTGCTGTACATACCTTTGCATTAGGAAAGTGTTTATATTTAGAACTTTGCACACCATGCTTAATGAAATCTGCACAAACTGGAAAGGTAGGTAATGAATTTATAATATAGTCCTCACTTTGCAAGCATAGTATTTTTGCCTGATATAAAATGTATTACAAACTTCAGGGTTTTTTTTACAATATCAAGAATTCATATTGTTAAAAACAATTGTATCTTTTTTGTTTAAGAAAGGTTCAAAGTGTATATCCATGAATGCACTTTTACAGATAAAATGTGTATTAGCTTATATATAGTTATTATTTTATAAGAGACAGATTTTATATTTGAACTTCTAAAATAAGTGAATTGATTGATTGATTGTATACTGTTTAACGTCCCTCTCCAAAATATTTCACTGATATGGAGACGTCACCATTGTCGTTGAAGGGCTGCAAATTAAGGCCTATGCTCGGCACTAACGGCCTTTGAGCAGGGAGGGATCTTTATTGTGCCAAACCTGCTGTGACACGGGGCCTCGGTTTATACGGTCTCATCCGAAGGACCGCCCATTTTATTCGCATTTGAAGACAAGCAAGGGTGTACCGAGGAGGGCTTTATATATGTATATCTGATGTATCAATTTAAAAGAAATGCCTTTTTGCATATGCATTCCTTATATGAAAAATAAGCTTTAAATCTGAAATACGAGTAATTATATGAAAAAAAAGCACTTTATATTTTATAAATTTATATTGCGAGAAGGGGTTTTTCCTAGTATCTGATCTTTCTGTGTCTCTATGTAAACTTTATTTTTTTTCATTTTTTTATTAAATTATTCATAAACTGAAAAAAAATTACTTTATTTTAGAAAAGAGCTACCAAACACTTATTAATGTAATAGTTATCTTTCATAACATGGGGCTATTGAACCTTAATACTTACAGGTTTTCTTCTCAGCCTCAATATTCCATTTCCTCTGATCAATCTTATAGAGTTCAAGTCAATGTAAAAGAGATCTTGTTCATGCAGTAGATTTCTTGTTCGAGTAATAGAGTAACTGTTTATATAATAGAGTTCCTGTTTAGATAATGGGGTTCCTGTTCATTTAATAGAGTTCATATTAAATTTTTAGAGTTTCTATTAATGAAATAGAGTTCCTGTTAAAGTTATAATGTTCCTGTTAATGTTATAAAGCTCCTGTTAATGTAATAGAGTTCCCGTTAATGTGATAGAGTTTTTTGTTAATGTAATAGAGTTCCTGTTAATATAATAAGGTTTCTATTACTGTATTAGAGCTCCGTTTAATGTAATAGAGTTCCAGTTAATGTGATAGAGTTCTGGTTCATGTATTAGAGTTTCAGTTAGTGTAATAGAGTCCATGTTAATGTTATAGCGTTCCTGGTTATGTAATACAGTTCATGTTAATGTGATAAAGTTCCTGTTAATGTCCGGAGTTCCAGTTAATGTAGTAGAGTTCCTGTAAATGTTGCAAAGCTCTTGTTAATGACATAGACTTCCTGTTAATGTAATAGGTTTCTGTTAATGTAATAGAGTTCCTGTTAATGATATAGAGTTGCTGTTAATCAGATAAGAAAAGACGATAAGACGCCGAGGTGATAAGACGCGCTTAAATTTGGCTCCTGATTTTACCTGAGCTACCTGTGTAATTACTCTGATTGGATTACAAAATAAGTCCTGTTTTCAATAATCACTATGTAGTAGATCAAATGATGAAAGAAAAAGAGAAAGAAAGAGGAAAGTAAGAGCTACAATATAACAATAACAGAAAAATTAACTTATTGCATTTAAAAAAAGGTCAAATGTTAACCAAGCTGACTACCGTGATAGGTGTGTTGTGAGTCACAGTTTGGGATTTTATTTGTAACGCAAGTTATGACCGGAAACGCATTCTGCTAGCTAATGGCGGAGAGAATATGGTAAGAGTTTTTAATCCCGGCTTTTTTTAATATTCTTTACCTTATGGTCAATATCGTCCAGGATGTCGAATTTCACACGTTTGTCCTTCACTTTTGCGTATACAGATCCGTTAAAATACCAAGCAGATGTAATGCCTTCATTATCTAACAATCGTGCGATCAGTTCACTATTTTCCTTCGTGACATCGTCCCCCAGTCGAACATTTCCAGGAGCATCTTTGACCTCCGATCGATGCCGCATGATGTGCGCCTTTTTGTCGTTGTTCTTCATTTTTATTAGAATAGGCCTTGGAGAATTGGTTTTTGATCCTGGGATCCGATGTACTGCCACTATAGCGTCTTTTATCGAAGCCTGTTCGTGTCCATTGGTCCGGTGGGTATCAACTTGTAAACGTTTTTCAAATGGTTAAGATTATTTCAGTAAACTGTCAAGATTTAGGTGATATTGCAAAGCGCAAGGATGTTTTTAATTACTTAAGAGCCTTAAATTATAACATTTACTGTTTGCAAGATACACATTTTTCGTGTGATATTGAAAACGAAGTAAGAAATTTATGGGGTTACCAATGCTTTTTCAGCTCATACTCTACAAACTCTAGGGGAGTGGCAATTCTAGTTAACAACAACTTTGATTTTAAACCTCTAACAGAAAAGGGCGACCTTGAAGGAAACTTTATTTTACTTAAAGCATCTGTAGAGGGCCATGAGGTATTGATATGTAACATTTATGGTCCAAATAATGATACACCACTTTTCTTTGAAAATTTACAAAAATATATTGATGATAGGCAATGTAGAAATATTATTTTGTGTGGAGATTTCAATTTAGTTTTGAATCCAGATTTGGACTATTATAATTATAAATCTGTCAATAATCCAAAGGCAAGAGATAAAGTTTTGGAAATAATAGAAAATAATTGTTATATTGACCCTTTCAGACAGCTTCACGAAAAAGAGCGTCGATATTCTTGGAGAAGAGAAACTCCATTGAAGCAAAGCCGTTTAGATTTTTTTTTAATATCTGAAACCCTTTTGTCAGGATTGGAAAAATGCTCTATAGATACTAGTTATAGATCAGACCATTCCATAATATCCTTGTCTATAGCTTTTAATGAATTTAAGAAAGGTAGGGGGTTATGGAAGTTTAATAACTCTCTACTTCATGATGAAAATTACTTAGATTGCATTAAAAATGTAATTTTAGAGGTTAAGAAACAGTATGCAATCCCAGTATATAACTTTGACAACATAGATAATATTCCAGATTCCAATTTTTATTTCACTGTTAATGATCAGCTATTTTTAGAAACTCTGCTTTTAGAGATAAGAGGTAAAACTATTTCATATGCATCATATATCAAAAAGAAAAGAGAAAACAAAGAGAAAGTTTTAATAGAAAGTATCAAACTATTAGAAGAAAATGTTGAAAGTAATATTGATGAATTATATAGTAAAAAGCAAGAATTGGAGAACATTAGAAAGCATAAATTGCAAGGTAATTATATCAGGAGTAGAGCAAAATGGGTCGAAGAAGGCGAAAAACCAACACACTATTTTTGTGCATTAGAATCCAGAAATTTTACTAGTAAGATTATACCTAGATTGGAGGATAATAGTGGTAATATTATTTATGATCAATCAGAAATTTTAAAAGAAGCAAAATTATTTTATGAACAACTATATAGAACTAGTACAGTAAACCCAAATACTGATCTATTCAATGAATTAAATAATGAAGAAATACCAAAGCTTTCTAGTAAGGAAACAGAATCTATAGAAGGTGAAATTACTTTGGAAGAAGCCTCAGAAACACTCTACAAAATGAAATCTAATAAATCTCCAGGTTCTGATGGTTTTTCTGCTGAATTTTTTAAGATGTTTTGGAAATATATTGGTCCCTTTGTAGTTAGATCTATAAATTACAGTTATAGAAGTGGAAGTCTCTCTATTACACAAAGACATGGCATTATTACACTTTTACCAAAAGGTGATAAGCCAAGACAATACTTAAAGAATTGGAGACCAATCACTTTGTTAAATACTATCTATAAAATTGCATCGGGTACTATAGCAAATAGAGTAAAAAGATACCTAGACAAAATTATTAACAAAGATCAAACAGGTTTCATCTCTAATAGATATATAGGTGAAAATACAAGGTTAATATATGATATAATGCATTATACGGAAGAAGAAAATATACCTGGGTTATTATTACTTATTGATTTTGAAAAAGCCTTTGATACTTTGTCCTGGAATTTTATTCAAGGAGCACTTAAATTTTTTAACTTTGGTCCCTCAATTAGGAATTGGGTGTCACTTTTTAATACGGACATTACATCTGCAATAAATCAAGGTGGTAATCTTTCTGAAAGAATTAACATCCAGCGGGGTTGCAGACAAGGGGACCCATTATCCCCTTATATATTCATTATATGTGCAGAAATACTAGCAATTCAAATTAGATTAAACAAAAATATTAAAGGAATAACTGTGAACAATACTGAAAAAAAGATTTCTCAATTAGCTGATGACACTTCTCTTATTCTTGATGGTAGTAAAGAATCCCTTGCGGAAACATTAAAAACACTAAAGAGTTTTTCAGAAATGTCTGGCTTACATATTAATTATGCCAAAACTCATATAGTATGGATAGGCTCCAAAAAGTATAGCAATGAAATATTACTGCCAAATTACAATCTTAACTGGGGAACTACTAGATTTACCCTTCTAGGAATACATTTTGATGTGGAATTGGATAAGTTACTATATTTAAATTATGATCCCAAGCAAGTACAGATTAAATCAATACTTAGACAATGGGAGAAAAGGTACCTAACTCCAATTGGGAAAATAACAGTCATTAAGACATTAGTTTTACCTCTATTAAATCACATTTTAATGTCAATACCAAATCCCACTGAATCATACTGCAAAGAATTAGACAAAATATTCTTCTCATTTCTATGGAATAATTCAATTCATAGGGTTAAAAAAGAAGTTATTATTAAAAATTATGAAGATGGGGGATTGAAAATGTTAAACCTGAAGTCTTTTATATCATCGATGAAATTATTTTGGATAAGACAGCTCATTTTTACAAATAGGGGTATGGAACATCTCATTCCAAATTTCAACTTAGACAAATTTATAAATTGTGGAATTGACTATGTCACAATCTATCTGAAGACTTTGAAAAATAAATTTTGGATAGACGTTTTCAAATCCTGGATAATACTACAAAATCATGAGATAGTATCTGAGGTTGCTGGTGACTCACCTCTGTTTTACAACCCAATGATTCGTATTGGGGGGAAACCCTTTTATAATAAACAAATGTTTAACAACAACATTAGAAGAGTTAATGATATTATCAATGAAGATGGTTCTTTTCTAAGTTTTGAATCTTTTTGTAATACCTATCCCATGATTAAGATGAATTTTTTAGAATATAGTAGTATTATTCATGCTATAAAATCTTGGATAAAAAATTCTGGCCTTGACATACCTATTAAAAAGCTAGAAAACCCATTGATTATGAGAATTATCTACAAGGTGATGAAATGTCACAAATCCAAATGTTTTTATGAAATTCTTAACCATAACTCCTCTATGTCAACAGGTAAAACAAAGTGGAGTGAGATGTTACAGATTGATAATAAAGAATGGAAAAAATTCCACAAAATACCCTTCAGAGTGACAAAAGACTGTAAACTCCAATGGTTTCAATATAGAATTATAAACAGAATTCTAGCAACAAATTCATTTTTATTCAAAATTAACAAAAATGACTCTAAATACTGCAACTTTTGCCTCTCAGAAGAAGAAACAATAGAACACCTTTTATGGGAATGTGATTATACACAATCATTTCTAGAAGAATTTGTAATTTTTCTTGAAGATAAGACTGGTCTAGTCATTAATATTACAAAAAAATCTTTTATTTTAGGTTACATTGAGAATTATACTGATATTCAAAATACTATTGCCCTTTGGCTGAAATATTATGTTTACACATCAAGATGTACTAAGAAATCTTTGAATTTATGTGCTGCAATATCACAAATGAAGTTTTATTATGAAATACACAAATTTATATCTTATAGAAATAGTGGAAAAGAAAAATTTGATGCCCAGTGGATCAGATGGAACCAACTTTTCTATTAAACTCTCTCTTTCACTACTATCTCTCTCTCTCTCCTCTCTTTCTTTTGCTCTCCTCTATTCCTCTTTCTACCTATCTCTATTTAAAAAAAAAAAAAAACATCATGTATTAATTCAATGTTTTATATTGTAAAAAGAGATGTGAATAAAAAAAAAAATGTAGTAGATCAAATGATGAATGTGAGTTCAAGTTCCAGTCTTTTTAGATCATTTCTGGATTCTTTTACTGGATTCACAAATCCAATAAATGACAATCATGATGACGTGCATATTAATGTGGACATACCAAGCTTTCTAAAAGTTACCACCAATAAGAGGAGCTTTACTGTTAACTTTGACCAAGAAAAATATGAAATTATTTTTTCATATTTGCAACAGGAAATGATATGTGAGAAAACTACTAAGGGAGATGGCCATATTTTTAAGACTAGCTGTAGATCTGTTACAGCTACAATTTACAGAAGTACCTCGGTACTCCATATTCAGGGGAGTACAGCATCATCATGGTGCGAGAAATTCATTGAGGAAATAAGTGTTTACGCATGTGGCATTAATGAAACAAATATCATTATTTCCCAACCGCCGCCACAAATGGCATCTACGCCAAGGAGGAACCTATCAAATTATGTTCCGTGTAATGAAACTAAAGAATGCAGCAGGTGCTGTAATTCTGCCTTACGCGTGGAGGAACTTTCATCAATTGTTCAACGCTTAACGCAGGAAATGGAGTCTTTAAAAAAGGAAATGAGTGAAAATGCAAATAAACGCGTAACCAGTTCAAGTACTCAGACAACCTGTACAGTCCTCAAACATAAAGGCAATTGTACAAATGATCTACCAAGGGCTTCTAACAATGTCACTTCTAGACATGTACAGTGTAATGAAGTTATACCAGAAGTAGCTACGAAAAAAAGCTCTACAAACACAGAACCACAACAACCTGTGCACCGGAAACTAGGAAACAGTTCCGTCCAGAAACAACGTAATTCCACAACTAGCAACCAGCAGAAAACTACACTCCTGATCGGAAGTTCAATTTTGCAACGTATTAAAACTCGTGGGTTATGTTCAAATGTTAGTTAGAGTACCAACAGAGGAGCCAGCATT